AAAATGCACTTGGGGTACCCACATTACGTATTTGAAACAAAAGTGTCAACAAAGGATCAACTTTCTACGATCAATTTCCGGGACATGGTGGGGTGCTCAACCAGAAGACCTCATTAAACTATATAAAACGACTATTCTTTCAGTTCTTCAGTATGGCTCTTTTTGCTTCTTCTCGGCAAGAAAAAGCCACCTAATCAAATTGGAACGTATTCAATATCGTTGTTTACGTATTGCGTATTGCCCTGCAGAACCGTTTCTGGGAGCTCTCATTAAGAATATTGATTAAATGTAGTGTCAGTAACAACCTTGTGATTGAAAACTTCGAAGAAATGCTCGAATTGAGCATCCAGTCTAGATTCGTGCGAATCTATCTTAATTATATGTCATCGGATATTAGCCTTCCTTGCTATAACCCCTCTCGTGTATGCTTTACTAACTACAGTTCCCCCATTGACTATGATCTCTCCATGAAACAGGCTATTCAAGGAGTTCCAGATCAACTTCGACCTATCTCAATTCCCCGCATTTTTGCTGAAAAGTACCAACACGTCAATTGCAATAGAAGATTTTTCACTGATGGATCACGCATTGATGGATCCACTGTCTTCGGCGTCTTCAATGAATACTCAACCGCCTTTCGGAAACTTCAGGAACCTTGTTCCGTTTATGTTGCTGAGCTAGCAGCAATCAACTTCGCATTGGGGATGATTTCCGATATGCCCATAGACCATTACTTCATCTTCTCGGATAGTCTCAGTTCGATTGAGGCTATTCGGTCGATGAAACAAGGTAGGCACTCATCTTATTTCCTTTCAAAGGTAAGGGAACAGATGAGTTTGCTGGTCGAAAGATCATATATGATTACCTTTGTATGGGTCCCCTCACATTGCTCAATCCCAGGCAATGAGAAGGCAGACTCTCTCGCAAAGGTGGGCGCACAACAAGGCGAGATTTATGATAGAAGAATTTCACATGATGAATTTTTCCCATTAGTACGTCAAAGTTCTCTTTTAAGTTGGCAAAACGATTGGACAAGTAATTCTCTTGGGCGGTGGTTACATTCCATTATTCCAAATGTTTCTTCGAGAGCGTGGTTCAAAGGTCTGGATGTAAGTCGGGGATTCATTTGAGTGATGTCAAGACTTATGTCCAACTACTACTCGCTAGGCGCACATCTCTATAGAATAAACCTCGTTGACAGCAATATATGTAGGTGCAGAACCGGTTATGATGACATCGATCACGCAGTTTGGTATTGCCCGGGTAATGACGCCTCCAGAGCACGACTATTGGATACCCTAGTGGTCCGAGGTAGACACCCTTCCGTGAAGTAAGAGACGTATTGGGAACATGCAAGCGATCTACGAATTCCTTTGTTTGTCTGATGTTAGAGTTTGATGTGACTATCCCCTCCTTTCCAAACAATTTCCCGCCATTGTGTCCCAGTCTTATTATCCTCCTGTTCCTGTGCTACTTGCCCCTGCCCAGCCAGGATTTGGTCAACCGTTCGGGAGTAGAATTTGAAGGAGGCTTCAGAAACCAGTTTCCTACCTATCTTCTTCCAATCGAAATTGTTACCCATTAACCTCGAGCCCGCCACGAGTAATTGGTACCCAATACTAACCTAGAAATATTGCTATTTAAAATGTAAATCAAACATTACTGATTTTGGCTCCGCAAAGTGTCACACACGACTAAGCCTAGTAAATAAACGAACTAGTTAAAAAAATGTTGTCAATATTTGTATATCGATGATATTGATGGCGAAATTGACGGTTTTTGTCAATACATTCTGAATATTGACAAAGTGAAATTAAAATCAGCTTTTCGCCAATACATGTCATCAATCAACGTGTTCAATATCACCTCTCCCTGCCACGTCTGAGTTCTACGCCCCACAACCTAGTACACAAGTGGCGGTGAAGACACTTGATGGTATTTTTTCGATCGAGTTGGAGACTTTTTCTCAATATGATACGATTGCGAAAGCAGTTTTGCCATTGTATGGGTTCTGGATCGTATCACCTTAAACCTTCTGGCATCACTGCATGGTCTCAACAGGTCTCAATGGCAGTTTGTTTGTTCCATAGTTCGCTCAGTCCTAGGTGTAGGCTCCGGGGATAAGTATTTCTTATTCTGTGAGGAGCACTAGAATACATTTGCCATAACATTCTGAAAATAATCAAAATTGAAGCCAACTTTAAAAATTTCTTATATTGTCGGTCAAGTTGGACACCGGAAAACTCCAGACGCGAAATTTGATTCTACTCTCGTTCTGTACGTTCAAAATAACGTCGGACATAGTGCGCATTATAGCGCATCATTGTGCGAATACTTGTGCTATGTTTAACGAATTAGTTTTTGATTCAGTTCCAACCTGGATTGGGTATCAAAATTGGATCTGCATGTTTTCAGACAAACGTCAGTTTGATCTAAAACTTTATTAAATACCTTAGGTTGAGGTTCGCACCGGCAAAAAGTTTAGTTTCGTACTGGGTTGGAACTGGTTCCAATTCGCTATTAATGTACGAATCGATCTTCTAAAAATCCATTATTCTTTTTCGTTGAATCGATTTTTTTTTTTTTTTTTTTTTGTAGTGATCCAGTGGCAGCAACTTGCTAAAACTCTACACTGGACCCCTTTTATTGATAAATTTTGCTTCTATGAGCCTCTATTTTAAATCAACACACAGACGTTCCTAGGCTATGGTGCCCATTTGGTCACTGTTGTTTTTGTGCTGATCCAAATAGTTTTGATAATATAATTACGCATTCTTTTTTTTTTTTAATGTTGATTTTGTCTTCTGTCGTCACTTATTTTGTCATTTTGTCTTGTGTATTAACCCCTACTTGTCTTGTTTATTGTGTCAACTTGTGTCTATTGTCCTTCCCCATCTGTTACTCTGTCATGACTAATTTCATTGATATATAAAAATAGTAATATCAATTACAGGATAATATGGTTATTTCTCGATTACTTTTTCAAAGGGAAGCACCAGCTCCTGCAAACAATGCATCCGATCGTCGATCCGGCGCAACCGGCAGCTCGCATACGCTTATCAACACCACCAGCAGGTAGAGGAAAATTTCCCCTATCTGATGATAGTGCCAGCCCGCGTGGGCGAGCCACCAGTTAAGCCAAATCAACGATCAAACGCACCGCCTACAAAAGCCGATACGCTCCCTTGAAAAAGTTATCGAGATTTCTACTAATTAATGAATTATTGACAATTACCTCTCATGATCCTTGGCTCTGATTTTAACTTACCACTTTTTGATTATTTATCAAATACCTCTCCCAGAATATATAACTCCCCGATGCCTTGTTGGTTTCTGGTCTCATTTGGATTGGTTTGACATCCTGTTCGAAGTAATTCTTTGAGTTCCAGCTTGTACGTGTCTCACGTCATATGATTCGCCATTCATAAAGATAATGGGTTAAAAGGGAGTAAAACATACATAAAGGTAGATTAGTATTAGTTGTACTTGATCCAAACAATAGAAAGAAGCATAGATGACTTAGTAGAAAAATAAAACTAATAAATAGCTAAAAGTGCAATGGATAAGTGTTAGTTCCGGGATCATTTTAGTGTTAGTAGTTATGTTAGTTTTGATACGTATTCAGCCCTGCTGGCCCCTCAAGCACTATTTGCAGCAATTGTGATAAGATTATGCGACACTGCTACTACTACTATGTTAGATGTATGACTTGTCAATTTTCGCAACGCAATGTCTTTCAATAAATCACTCAATCAATTTGATGTTTGAAAATTTGCTCAAAAGGGCTTTGTTGACACATCATACCTTACCGACAACTAAAGCACAACAATCCTAATTCTTATTTCAAACCTATCAACATATTTAACACATCTTTCCTAAAATTTCACTTGTTCGTAAGCGCCTGGTTGAAGATATGACTTTCGCTATTGACATTGTCTGTAATTAACAAATACACTAAATAGGAAGATTTATTATACAACTTCATAGGCTAGTCGCCTCCCTAAGCGGACCCCCCGCGTCCTATCTCTTATGTTAATTAGCTTTCTGAATTCTATAATTGAAGTTTATTTAATAAATAACTGAAATCTCTAATCTACCTACATAACCCATGCTTTTAAATTACAATTTAACGTGTTTCAAGTACTTCTGGCTTTTACATATCTTATCTTATATCTTTGTTCGTCCCAGATGACACCTTCAAGTGACTAAAATGCTTCACTTTGAAGTTAGTTTCCAAGCTAATTTTAAATTGTATATTGTATAGGGTAAATGTTCCAACTACGCTCTCACGTTTCCACTATGTGGCCCCACAAAAATACATATGGGTATGTCACAATAGAAGCACACCGCAGTGGAAATCCCGAGCCATAGTTCAAACACTTATCCCAAATCAAAATGAAGCACATATAAGATTAGTTACAATACCATGTACAAAAATGATGTTTAACATTGTTTTCTGAGTAATACTTCAATGAAAGCTTATCACGCAAATAGAAGGAGCACTGTTGGGCACTTTCTGAAATATTTCAATAGTATAATTCCCTTGCAAACCCAAATAAATCTATCTGCGTAAAAAATAAATAAAATAAGAGTGATTTGCGGCAAAACCCGCCAGTATCACACCCAACGTCAGTGCCTATACGTAAGCGTACTACGACGCGGCTCTCAATAAAAGGAGTAACAAGTGTGATACTATCACTGCTAGACTAGATCTTTGGTTCTCTCATGCAGCGGTTTATCAGAGAGGGGAAGCTTAGTAATCCCCATCGCCTGCCCATGTCGCCATTCTATCGCGGCATGAGCCAGCAACGCCGACCATAAACCTACCGTCTCCAACACTCCACTATAAAGCATGAAATTAAGCCCGCCCACCAACAGCAAGGTGCAAAAACTAGCCAAGGGGAGGGTTTTTCGTTGAATTGATTTTCGAAACTAAAAACTATGAATGTAGTAGGAATTCTTCAAATGGCCGAAGATGAGACCAACATCGAAATTTCAATTCAGTGCTACATTTCGGACACTTCCAAGCCAAACATAACATCCTTATGGATGGGGAGCACCACTCTCCTGAGCATGAGCGGAATTAAGCTGTTTCTGTTCCCACTCCACCGGATGCTTCTGCTTGACGTGTTTGTACAAGTACGCCCTGCCGTTTGTCGTCATGTCACAAAACTCACAGCTATACAACACTTCGCCCGTATGGGTAGCTCGATGTTCCTGTAATAGAGAAACCCCATCAATCTCGATGTCTACATACACACAGGCCCATCATTCAATTCTCACCTTCAAGGCCAGCGTCCGTTTAAACATTTTGCCGCAGAATTCGCATTCATGCTTCGCTTCTATGTGGATTTGTTTCTTATGGCTCTTCAAAGCCGCCACAGATGGATATTTCTGCATACATACATCGCACTCAAACACCCGCTCATTGTTGCCATGTACAACGTTCATGTGATTTCGATGGTTCTTTCTGCCCTTCAACCACCGTAGACAGATGTGGCACTGAAACCGCTCCACCTTGATTCCCATGTGTTGCTCGTTCATGTGCTGCTGGAAGCCTTCCTTGCTTTTGTACTCCCGGCCACATACGTCGCAAACCTTGAAACAATCCTTGCCCTCGTGTACGGCCTTGTGCGCATTCAGGGTGTCCTTGTTCTTGTACTTTTTCCCGCACACCTCGCACCGGAATACATCCGGATTGGCGTGAAAGTTGATATGATCCAGGATGGTGTATCGTTTGGATAGCTTCTTGTTGCAGCACACTACGTACCCATCCCGCCGTTGGTGTTCCTGCCAGAAATGAGTGCGCAGTAGTTTAAAGGATGCTGCCTTCGCTCCACAAAGATCACAGATCATGCGGAAGTGTTTGCTGAAAAGCTGATGCTCTTTTTCTCGTTCGGAGTCGGAACCGTCGGTTTTTGCCTGTTGCGGGCGTCCTTTTCGCTTGGGTCGTGACTTTTTCGGAGTAGGTTGATCGCACGATTCGTCATCAGCGTCGGAGCTTGGATCTGTTTCTTCTTCCGGGACCATTTCTCTCGGTTCGGCAGCTTCTTCTGTCGATTCCGGAAGCTCAGTGGTCGGTTCAAGTTTTACTGCATTTCCGTTTAGGATCTCTTGATTTTGGCGTACTTTTTCCGAGTATTGATAGAACTCGGAGATGGCGTAGGAACAGCTCTGACATACACCGGAGCGGTATCCTGGTTTGGATTCGATCTGAAATGTGATAACATTCTGGTGAGACATTTTTTCAGAGACTGGGGTCAGTTGTCGACAATATCTCTATGAAGAGCGGGCATTTGACAAGCTTTCTATACTCAGCAACGGCCGAATTAAGGCAAAAAATGTGATTGATTGTCCATAACAAACAATTTCGCAAAGTTTCATACAAATCGGAGAAGGTTGATTCAAAAATTCAATGTCATATGACAAAAGATCGCAAGACAAAAGACGTCAGACTAGACAGAAAAGAAAACAAGATTTTAGGGATTTTGGGTCCCCTGGAAATAAGGCTCTAGGGTTTTTATGAACATTGCGATGAACATTGAGATAATCCCAGCGGTATTCAGGCATTCTGATAAAAACGTCTAAATAGATAATTGCTGAAAGTATTTTTAAGGGATTCCGAGAAGAATTTCATGATAATTTTCAATGGAATTCCAAGGGCTTTGTGAGGAGGATATGGCACAGCAGGAATTTGGCACACACAAATTTCTGAGGGGCAGAAAAATTGCTCCAATGTTCCTTGAACACGTACAAAGTTTTCTTATCTTTACTTCTTGAAAGTTTCCTCAACTTTTACGAAGTTACACCAACTTCTTTCAAGTTCCATTTTTTTTTCCAAATTGTCTTAATTCGTCCAAGATCTCAGAACATTAATGACCTTCTCCAAACTTCAGGATATACACTTAAGTTCTTCAAATTTCCAGTAAGTTCCCAAAAGAAAACCCTGAAGTTCTAAGAAGTATGCTGAAATCCTACAATTATGACTAAACTACTACGACGTTCTTTGAGCCTTTAAACAAAATCCCATCACTCCTATGAAGTTTTACGAAGTTCTACATAATTTGCTTGACTTCTACATAGTTCACAGAAGTTCTATTAAGTTTGCTGCTGCAGTACTAAACTTTTTAGAACTTTGTTAATTTTCTGCGAAGTTGTACAAAGTTCTTTCCTGCATGTCTACGTAATTTTTAGATTAGGATATTTACACTTTAACGAAGTGCCTTAAAGCTAAAAGAACTATTATGAAGTAACTCAAAATTAAACAAAGTTCCCTTAATTTCAACAAAGTTTCCCAAACGTGTGTAAGGTTCCTAATTCTACGAAGTTTTCACGAATTTTTACAAAGCACCCTTAGGGTTAACTACCCCATTTCCGGCCTATTAAGCACAACCCGCACTTAGTCTTTCTTAATCTATCGCAGTTTAGTACCAAACGGAATGTTATTATTACTGATGGCTTCCAAATTTATTTGCCTTTCCGTACGTACCGTAAAATTTGATAAAGAGAAACCAATCGTTGAGATATTGTCAAAAGTCTAACACTGCTTCTTGACGCCAAACTCGACCTACGGATTCTAAGCTAGGCCTAACGCATTGAAATGCCAATGAATTCACTTCGGCCTATCGGATGAAGATAAAAATTGATTCGGTAGGAGCGCTTCTTTTGTTTTTGGGAATAATGGGTGCAAACCTTCATATCATGCGTTCTCATTGACTTCGTTCCGTAGCTTATAAATTAAAGTATTGTACCAAACGCATAATTGACTTGTTAACTCTGAAGTCATGGATTTATTTGAAGTTTTCTGCTCGATAGGCTCAAAATGGGCGATTAGGCCGAAGTAGTTCTCTACTCTAGTTGCTTTGCAATTCTCTGAAGCTCTACCAAGTTCCCCAAATTTATATTAAATTTCCTGAATTTCTACGATGTCCCCTAAACATCTACAAAGTCCTTGAAGTTTAAAAAAGTTTAATGAAGTTGAAGAAAAATCTCTGAATTTCAAATAAAATCCTTGAATATCTACAAAATCAAAGTTCGCTAATTTTCAGTAATGTTTTATGAAGTACTAAAAAGTTCCCTGAAATTCTACAAAACTTAATTCTCCAAAATTTTCTGAAATTCTATTAAGTGCACTAAGCTTCTACACATTTTGCTAACCATTTACAAAATTAGTTGAACTTGGTTAACTAATTAAGTTTCCTGAACTTCTACGCAGTTGAATTAATGTCTACGAAGTTTTCGATAGTTCTACGATGTTTCTTGAAGATCTATGAAGTTTCTTGAAATTCTATAAACTTTCCCATTACTTTTAAGAAGTTCTCCGAGCTTCTACGATGTTATTAAAACACAATTCTATACAGAGCTGCAAAAAGGGCCTATTTGCTTTGATCGATTCTCTTCATCGACTTTCTCTTTCGTTAATATGATGATGATGATGGTCCCACCTCTTACCCCTACAAAGGTTTGAGCTGGACGAGTTATCTTTAAGATAATTAAATATAAACATTTTATCCAGGTTTGCAAACAAAATCGAGCTGGTTACAATAACAGATATAAATGTCCTGTTAAATATGCTATAGGCATCAACCAAAAACATTCAAAGGTGTAGCTAGTTATCAAAAGTCCAAGTATAGTCCTCGACAATACTTTCATTTACACGTGACCTGGGATTTACACGTTTAAGCTTCCGCAGTGCCAGGACTATATCCAAGGAAACGACTTCCAGCCAATCCTTTACTAATTTAAGGCTTTTGCCACAATTTCCACGTATTAGTCATTTATACCTGTATTCCGCGCGCGAGGCTCAAACCATTGTAGACTACTCAAAGCTATTTTTACTATTACTACTACAAAATCAAAAAAAACTAAAAATCCATCATCACCATCGAGGCAAACAATGTAGTTTTTTATATATGCTACACAAATTACTAAAATGTCTTGATGACAGTCTCCATACAAACTAATCCGTTAGTGATAACTTTGTCAAGATACATGATTTATCCACAGACAAACAGACATAACACATTGAATATTTATCACTATAAAACATCGTCGCTAAAACATTACCGCCATCTGTTGAACACAGTGTGGTGGGTAGTATGCTGAACAGATGGCGGTAGTGTGTAAACGTCAAACGCAAGGGAATTAACTATGCGCGCCACAGGTGGCGGTACTACCAACTACGATACTTTTAAATTGACCGTTAAATGCTTGTTCGGTGAACAACTTGCGAGTGTTATGTCTGTTTGTCTGTGATTTATCCATTCATAAAAAATTAACTGCTCAATAAACAGCTTTTACATGTGAAATGCAGCGTCTCTTAAATTCTGTAAGTGTAGTTGCACGCTTGATGTGTCTAGGCATCGAATTGAAAAACCTTTGAAAAATAATGAATTTTGTTGTCAGCTGTAACGACATTCCTTGTTGCATTTGATGATTTGGACGATAAATGAAAACCTCCTATGCACGAAATCTATTTACATTGCCGTAGTTATCAAAAGAGAAAGACGATGAAGAGAATCGATCAAAGCAGATAGGCCCTTTTTCCAGCTCTGCACAGCAAAAAAATAATTTTGATATCACGTCAAAGTGGATGCACTACAATCATGTCGAAAATATGGTGTAATATTACTTGCTAAAAAGGACAAAATTATCATTAATACAATGCATGAACTGACATTACGCTGCTTTTACTGCATTTGTTTATTTATTTGGTCATAAAAATTACATGAAATTTTCGACATGATTGTAGTGCATCCACTTTGATGTGATATCAAAATTATTTTTTTGCTGTGTGTATAGAATTGATGTTTTCTTATTTTTACGAACAGCCCCTGACTTCTAAGAAGGTTCCTGAACTTCTGGGAAGACTCAGTTTTAGATATCTGATCTATTGAACACCTTCCTCTGGCAGCAAATTTTACAAGTAGCGGTGAAGACATGTGAAAACATCTCGTCGATCACGTTGAAGACACCTGGCTGCATCCCTGGGCTGAATTACTCCCACTTCATGTCAGAGAAAACAGGAAGTGAGAATGTGTTGCGATATCTCTTTCTCTTTATGCCACCTGTATGAACTGTGATGGGGGCATCGTAAAAGTGAAAAGAGAAGGGGCACAAAACTGAGAGTTCACCTATACCAAAATCCTGAGTACGGCTCTGGTTGCGAGTAGAATTACATGGTAAGCCTGAAGAGTTGCCCTTATTCTGCGAGTTACGTGACTCTCTGTCACCGGTGAGATGACAATTGTCACCTCATGTGAGGTGACTCTCCGTGCAATTCAAATGGAGTGACACCTCACACGAGGTGCAAATTGTCAGCTCACCGATGACAGAGAGTCTCGTGACTCGCAGAATAGGGAAGAGTATTCCAAGGTGATTGTGAGGAGAAGTTTTGGAAAATTATAAAGAGAATTTGAAAGGAATTCTGAGCTGGACTTTTATGAAAATCCCAAGGGTACTCTAACCTTCTTTTTCTTCTTCTTCTTCGCATTTCAAGTTTATTGCTTATCGCATAGGGGGATAATTATAAAGAGAATAAAGAGAATTTGAAAGGAATTCTGAGCTGGACTTTTATGAAAATCCCAAGGCTACTCTAACCTTCTTTTTCTTCTTCTTCGCATTTAAAGTTTATTGCTTATCGCATAGGGGGAGAGGTAGCTCATCGATTCTTCCGGTTCGCCTCCTAGCATCGTGCTATAAGGTACCAGGCGATAACCAGGGTAGTTGATCGATATCTCGATGACGTAATTTCGTTGGCGTCTGCAATGGGAAATTCTCATAGCAGGCGTTGACGATGGGACGTTGTCGAGTTATTGAATAGCAACTATCGTGGTAACTCACCGATTACCTGTCGATCTGCCAAATTTGGAAAGACGTCTGCATTGAATTGTCTCATATAATAATATTCCGCCCACTATATCACAAGAAATTGCGAGTAGCTGAGTGGAATGGAGATAAGTTAAGCATTGGGTACAGGACCAAGTCTCCCCTGGGTGGTGCCAAAAGATGAGCGCAATAGAATCATCAAGTTGCCATAAGGCACGGAATGAGACTATTGCTTGGCTGGGTAGTCAAAGTCTTCCATTCGTTAGTCATTTCAGGTTGATTAGAACAGGTTTAGGTTTAGGGTGGGCGTTGGCCAGATTTGGATTTTTCAGATGTAATCCTGGATAGGACCCTGTCATTGAACGTCGCGTGAAAGTGGAACTTAA